TCATCTTGAAATATTACTAACAATGTGCAAGTTATTCTTATGTTTACTTCATAAAAATCAGTAAAGATTTGACATCTGGAGCACGAGCTGAAGGCCTTTTACTTGCTAAAAAAGTATCAACTATCAATCAAATGACAAGGCATGTAGTAGATTGTGTGCAATAGGTTTTTCATCAAAGTTTTGATCATTATTATTAACATCCTACTTTTCCTCTCCTGTCGGTTCTTCACGCTGGAGCTGTAAAACAGAGGTGGAGGGCAGAATGTGGTGTATTCCTGTGCATCTTCAGACCATGAGACCCTCTGTTGTACCTGTTCAGTCTGAGTAAAAGCTGGAACCCCTGGCTGCTTTGCTCCTGAGATCAATATATCGGTAGATTGTCCGTCAAGGCTTATTTGTTGTAAAAGGACATTCCCAGGATGGTTCTCAGGTACTTCTGGTGGCATCTCATCTTTTTCATTACATTTTGCACGCACTGACCAGTGTTTTTCTCCTTTTCCACGGGACCCACCGACTTCATAGACTCTGTTTTCTGGGATGTGAGTAATTAAATGAGCTCCCAGACTTACAATCTTATAAGCCAGAGAAATGACACCAATGCTGTTGCCCATTAGATTGCAAATTGGGGTGGTCAGTCTCTCTCCATAAGCGGATGGGTTGCCAATACCGTGTTTATCAACATCCAGTTTGATTTTCTCCGTCACTTTGGCGAGGGATATCAACGAGCTTCCTATAAGTTTGGGAATCTCATCTTTTACATCCAACACCATTGCGTAGAGAGGGGTGTTCAGGAGATGGGTATGTAACGCGTGCAAATTGATTTGAAAAAGACACGATTTGCCTTTATGGAAGGAATACTTGAGATGTTCTCCATCATCGGGTTGAGACATTGCCTCAGGTGATAGGCACAGATCAGCGTATCCCGATTTAGATGGAAGATGTTCTTGTTTTGATTGGTATATCAGCAGTGTGGGGAAATCTAAGAAGCGAACAGCTAATGCAGGGTCCAAAACATTGCCACGTGAACCGTCAAAGCGAACGCAATCGATCAGCAGTTCCAGTGAGAAGAGAGTTTCTTGCGTTGATGACATGTTCCTTGGCGTGAGAATAATACAAAGCGCTTTTATACAAAAACAATCATTTTGGGGGAGACATCGTTTATATATTAAACGTAACGGAGAGAAAATGAACTCGGAAGTGGTGTGTGCGTGAGCGCGTCGCATCGCCTAGCAACAACGTCGTCTCAGGATTTATACGTCACGGACGCCGTGGGTTACTGGGAAATGTAGTTTATTAGTTTTTTCCCTTTCTAGCTTCAGTCCAGTAAGTGTTCATCTTGAAATATTACTAACAATGTACAAGTTATTCTTACGTTTACTTTATAAAAATAAGACTTCACAGTAAAAAGACATGTGAACCACAACCTGAAGGTTTACGTACTGTATGTACAGTTATACTAAAAGACCCTTTACTTGCTAATAAAGTCTAAACTATCAATCAGGCGACAGAATGCATGTAGTAGATTGTGTGCGACAGGTGTTTCAGCAAAGTTTTGATCATCAAAACTTTAACATCCTACTTTTCCTCTCCCGTCGGTTCTTCACGCTGGAGCTGTAAAACAGAGGTGGAGGGCAGAATGTGGTGTATTCCTGTGCATCTTCAGACCATGAGACCCTCTGTTGTGCCTGTTCAGTCTGAGTAAAAGCTGGAACCCCTGGCTGCTTTGCTCCTGAGATCAATATATCGGTAGATTGTCCGTCAAGGCTTATTTGTTGTAAAAGGACATTCCCAGGATGGTTCTCAGGTACTTCTGGTGGCATCTCATCTTTTTCATTACATTTTGCACGCACTGACCAGTGTTTTTCTCCTTTTCCACGGGTCCCACCGACTTCATAGACTCTGTTTTCTGGGATGTGAGGAATTAAATGAGCTACCAGACTTACAATCTTATAAGCCAGAGAAATGACACCAATGCTGTTGCCCATTAGATTGCAAATTGGGGTGGTCAGTCTCTCTCCATAAGCGGATGGGTTGCCAATACCGTGTTTATCAACATCCAGTTTGATTTTCTCCGTCACTTTGGCGAGGGATATCAACGAGCTTCCTATAAGTTTGGGAATCTCATCTTTTACATCCAACACCATTGCGTAGAGAGGGGTGTTCAGGAGATGGGTATGTAACGCGTGCAAATTGATTTGAAAAAGACACGATTTGCCTTTATGGAAGGAATACTTGAGATGTTCTCCATCATCGGGTTGAGACATTGCCTCAGGTGATAGGCACAGATCAGCGTATCCCGATTTAGATGGAAGATGCTCTTGTTTTGATTGGTATATCAGCAGTGTGGGGAAATCTAAGAAGCGAACAGCTAATGCAGGATCCAAAACATTGCCACGTGAACCGTCAAAGCGAACGCAATCGATCAGCAGTTCCAGTGAGAAGAGAGTTTCTTGCGTTGATGACATGTTCCTTGGCGTGAGAATAATACAAAGCGCTTTTATACAAAAACAATCATTTTGGGGGAGACATCGTTTATATATTAAACGTAACGGAGAGAAAATGAACTCGGAAGTGGTGTGTGCGTGAGCGCGTCGCATCGCCTAGCAACAACGTCGTCTCAGGATTTATACGTCACGGACGCCGTGGGTTACTGGGAAATGTAGTTTATTAGTTTTTTCCCTTTCTAAAATGATTTTAAGTCGTATTGTAGTGTTTTTGTCTAGAAGTAAAATGCTAATAAAGCGTATATATTATTAATAAGTATAATACTGATAGATAAGTGGAACTATTTTTATTCTTTTTTTATTGTACTCTAATATAATTTTAAATTATTATTTTATGGTTTGCATAATTTCAACCATGTACACTTGGTAACGTGTTGCAAATGAATGGAACATTTCTCTTGATGTTGTTCTGTGGTTGTTAAATAATAATAATAATAATAATAATAATAATAATAAGAAGAAGAAGTAGAAGAAGATGAAGAATGATGTTATTGATCCTACTTTGGAGAAATTCCTACTTACAAAGCAGCACAATAGAAAAAGCAGAAATAACATCCAAGAAGAATTTTTTTTTTTTCATAAATACCTAAATATCAGAGAAAATATTATAAATAATGTAAAATATAGTAGAAATAGGAAACATTGAAACAGGTCAGTTAAATGTGTATGTATTAGAGTAGTAATAATTATATATTTTAAAATAATCACATTTTATTGCTTTGCAGCCTGAAATGAAGACAGACACCACAGTTTTTGTTTTATCCAGCTTTGTTTGCTCAGTGTATCTGTGCGTATGCAAAAGTATTATAATTTAATGCATAGTTTCACATGAACCAGTGGCCAGTGTAATGTGTTTTTACTGGTCAGCTGCAGGCATATTTAATTAAATGCATCATTTTGTATTTGTTTATTTATTTTTGCATTTTAATACAAGATGAAAAGAAAAAATATATAATTAATTAGTAAATGTAATGTTGTTTACACATTTCCACAAAAGCTTTCAATAAGTTAACTTCACTAAATATTTTTAAATATTGAATTCAAGCATTGTAATATACACTAAATCTGTTTTTTGTTTTTTAAATAATCCAAATTTGTATTAAAGACTAAAAATGATTTCCCACAGTCTTCCAGTTGGGGCCACTATTACTCCAGTTTCAGATCATAGTTGGTTTTTAAACTGATATCCAAGAATATTTAATCCTTTAATACACAAAGACCAAACAATCTCATTCTAAATGGCCTGATGTGAAAACTATGAAGTTTTCAGAAATACCTTTGCTGAAAAATAAATGTACCGCTGTGTATACATTACTGCCTTCCTTGTGAACAAGTGCGTGGGCGGAGTTTGGCAACAGCTCGACCAATCATATGCCGCGGTGGGCGGAGCCACAGACCGGCTTCATGTGATCCGACCAAACGCCAGTATTTGGATTGAGTGAGTGGAGGGTGAAGGTACCAGCTGCTCGGAGAACATCAGTGTCTCTGTATGGAATATAATAATTAACTACATCTGTATTTTAAAGGAATGAGGCTGACGTTCATCTGCACATTATGGGAGTTTCTTTTACTCTGAATGCTGAAGGTAAGGTTCACTTCTTTGAATAGTAGCCTACTACCAGGCAGAGTTGTTACTGTGTTGCGATTTTTGTAACAATAGCGTCTGTAGAAAAACTGTAGCGAGTTTCTTTTAGTTCAGTACAGATGTGTCAGGTTTGGTAATATAAACCCTTGGATTGTGATTTAAAGCCTAGTGAGCTGCCTACCTAGGCGTCACAGTCGCGTGCAGCAGGTTTGGGCGTTTTGGGCGCGTTCCTTGTTGTCAACGCTAATGATGCCCAAAAAAATGATTGCTGTTTGACAGCTCGCTAAGTATTGAGGAAGTCCTTCTGTTGTGGAAGTTTGTGAAAAATTATTACCTGAGTTCTCACTATTGTTTAGTGTGTGTGTGTGTGTGTGTGTCCTTGAAACAATACTGAGAAGCACAGACTCATATGCATGCATCAGACACATGCACTTTGTCACTTTGCATCTTTATTGTATTTATTACAGGCTTTTCCTGTACATCTGGAGTTATCAGGTTCAAATGTAGCTTAGAGAATGTGCTTTTTAAAGTAGATATAAAACACAGGCAGTCAGATATCCACTAGAGGGCTCTTGAATGTTCTTATGGATCAACAGTCCAGTGCTATTGTCAAATTTTCTATCATAGTGATTATCCATACAACATGTTTCCAACACAATAGTCTTTGCAAGGCAGAATTAAGAGTTAAGGTGATCCGAAACTAAACGCAGGTTAATCTTACAATAATATGCAGTTCGACTTAACGAAATGTGAATGTTTATTTGCTGTGTTTACTGTTTGGTGGCAGAGTGACAAATATCAGATTGTATATTACTTAAAGGGGTCATATGATGCGATTTCATTTTTTCCTTTCTCTTTAGAGTGTTACAAGCTCTTGGTGCATAAAGAAGATCTGTAAAGTTGCAAAGACTAAAGTCTCAAATCCAAAGAGATATTCTTTATAAAAGTTAAGAGTTAGCCACACCTACCTAAAACGGCTCGTTCGAACACGCCCCCACATACCTACCTCTAATGTTCTTTTAGCAGCATCATATGACCCCTTTAATATGTGATGATACTTTATTTAGGACGATATTTAAGTATATTTTTAAGTACCGTAGGCTGTGGTCTATCACATTTTTGTCCTTTCTTTTGTGGAAACCACAGATAACACTAACAAAGTTGTTTTTGGACATGCACCTTGGTGATTTCATGGTATTCTTTGACACACTAATCAAGTGTGATTAGAGTCGGACTTGTAACCCAAAGGTTGCGGGGTATGTGAATATGGCAATCATTCAGTACCATAGTATATATCAAAATACCATATCTGATGCCATGGTACTTTTTGTAAGGGAATGAAAAGCCTGTGCTTCTTTATAGTTAATAATGAGTGATCTTTTTTTTTAAATCCTGCTCTAATCAAAGAAATCATCAGAAGTGCTTTAGTATCTGTGTTAACAGTGTAGATATTAATGCAAGCTTCTTTATGCTGTGTCACTCAAAGGACTTCAGTATGAGTGTTTTCTCTGTCTTCTGAACAGCCAGCGCGTATCAGATTATGGTCAGGTAATTACAGATTTGATTAGACAAGTTACACAGCCATGTCCTTGTGTCAAGGTTAATAAAGGCATTTTCTTTATAGCCGTATCAGTAATACGTGAGGGACACAGACAGGAGAAAATCCTTCTGATGTTCAGTTCTTTCATACCGGCGAACAAAACTGCATGCCTGTCTCTGAGGATGAATCCACCTGGAAAGCCTTTATACTTTGTAGACTCGGAAATGCATTGTTCTTCAAGGCGAAGTGTGCTATTAAAATAGTTTCTCCTAGTCTAATTTAATGTACAGAGACAACTATATGTGAACTTTCAGTATGTTTATTTCCCCAAAAAGTGATTTGGTTGCAGATGGTGGGAAAAATGCATTGTTAAAGTCATGATGAAATGGAAGTAGCGACAGATATTTTCTTCCGCATTGTGATGTACACTGAGTGAAATGGATTATTGGAAAATAAAAATGTAGAGCTGGGATTTGGTTCAATACATCGGTTATTTTGAGATGTGGGCATTGCACTAAAAAAAAGTGAAATATTTACTTGTGCACGGAAGAATTGTTCTCAATAAGATCAACATGCATTTAGAAAATAGATAGGATGCATTTTGATTTAATGCGACCATTAACTAACAGTAACTAACCATCTAGTCATGCATGCATAAATAGACTTATTGAATCTCAGATCTGTTGTTGTTGACATCAAAGGCCGTACATCCAAATCAAACTCTACAGCGCTAATTGATCTGTTTTTTGGTTGAAGCCAAGCAAACTCTACAGATGCCACATGTATAAGTGAGATGTAGGCAATAGATTTGTTTCTCAAAAATATCGACAAGGTGAATGAAAGACTGTGACATTAGTCAGTGTGCGTTTTAAATAGTCTTATAATGGACTGTTAAACTAAGTCGTGAGAGAGTTGTTGTAGACAACAATAATTGATTAACTTTGCAACATTGACATTGTCATTGAATCAACACTGAATCTAAATATAATGACACTATTGCCTTCTGTAGAGCTGCTTTATAGCTGAAATTGAAAGCGCTTTAAAATTGATGCAACATGATTGATGCAGTTTTGAAACATTAACATATTGTGTTCCTGTTTATTACTGTGAAGCTTCTTTGAAACAATCTGTATTGTGTAAAGCGCTGTATATAAAGGTGACTTGACTTGATTAAGGAAATTGTGCATTTTCATTGTTATTGGCATGTTTAAAGGGGTCATATGATGCTGCTAAAAAGAACATTATTTTGTGTATTTGGTGTAATGAAATGTGTTTATGCGGTTTAAAGTTAAAAAAACACATTATTTTCCACATACTGTACATTATTGTTTCTCCTCTATGCCCCGCCTTTTTGAAACGCGTCGATTTTTACAAAACTCATCGGTCTGAAAAAGCGAGGTGAGCTGTGATTGGCCAGCTATCCAGTGAGTTGTGATTGGCCGAATACCTCAAGCATGAGACGGAAATGTTACGCCCCTCACATACTGTTGATGCCGTGTCCAGCCGGAGCGACGAGACATAAACATTTTTACAGATCTTCTTTATGCACCAAGAGCTTGTAACACTCTAAAGAGAAAGGAAAAAATGAAATCGCATCATATGACCCCTTTAAGTTTGTTGCTTCCTTACTTTCCCCTGAGAGAAATGAGAAGTTTTTCTTCCCATCGCTGGGTTTAGATGGCACAGTGGCTGCAGACGGATGTTTGTCTTGCGTTGCACTCCTGAATACGTTCATAACATAATGACAGGAAATTAAAGCTCGTTTTGGAGTCTTCTCTTGAAAATAACATCTGTCAGGACAGGTGGACAGCTGCTCGCTACCCTCACGTCGAGCAGGAACGTTTTGTTTCATGTGAACCAAGTTAATGCCATTTAGAATGCGTTTTGATGGGTTATTTGCATTGTTTTAGTGTGTCGGAAATGGAAATGTGTTTCAATCTACTGTAGTACCAGTC